ATAATGTGTTTCCATAAATGTATGATAAATATTTGAACATTTATAAACCTGTTCACAAGTTTTAGTCATCACTATTGTTGCTACACTGCAATAATTCTTAATCCCCATAAGATATCCGGCCTTCTCAAATAGTGCAATTTCAACATCATCCCAACTGTCTGCCGTATATGCATCTTGACTGTCTTCTTTGAAATGAAGATAGCAATTCGATCCACATGGTTTGGTTTTACTGATAGGAGGACGTGGGCGTTTTTTGTTTCCAGATGGTCTAAAATCGGTGCCTAACATAAAACGTACATAAAACTAATTCTGTAAAATCACGTCGAAACACAAACTGAGTGATAAAAATGAAATCCTAATAATTATATTTTTATATAAATATCGAAATATTAATAAAAGCAATTTGATACAAACCATGAAGTTTACAATCATACACGTAACATCTACGACACCAAAGACTCGAATAAGAATGCATCAACATATCCGAAATTATGGGACCACCTGACCTGATTTGAAGACTTAACAGAAGAGATATTTCAAAGTACTTCTATAGATAAATAATATGTTTACTCATGAAGGCCGTAAAGAATTCAATAGTAATGTAAATTATACCTGTCCAAATCCATGGTTCTTGTTTCACTACGCGCATATTCCAGATACCTATCAGAAAAATTATTAAAACCTATTGTGATCATGTAATTAATAACTTGGGGTTTATAATATCTTACCTACTTACCATCTTCTTGATATCTTTTCCTTTCAGAAATTTTGCAAGCACTTTAAGAGTAACCTCAATAAATGAAACATCCATATTCTCATCGTTGTTATCGGCAGGACTAGCCCTGTTTTCTATTACCGGCAATCGTGCAATCCTTGAGGTCGTTAAAGGTGCAGTAGATGTTTTGCTCGATTTTGGACCTTCTAATTTAGCTATAGATTTTTCTATAAGTGCTATTGGAATATGATTCTGCCTGAAAATGTAATGCATGGTCTTTATAGCAATTTGCTCTCCTATCGTAGTAATTAAAATAAAGCATAAGAAAAATTTGCCTAAAACATGATATTTATAATTCGCTCTTTTTCACAATACAACCTTCCAGATCATATGCATTTTTGCCTACTATGCTTTCTTCATAAACATCAAAATAATCAACGTCATCATCGTCTTCACTGTCTTCTCCAAAATAGTAGAGATGTCTCAATACAGGATCATCTTCTGTCTATACATTGAATAATTTATAGCCATATTCAATAGTTTTTCATAATTATTGTCATTAAGTGAGATTACAATTAATACCTTTGAACTTCTTGTAATTGGAGTCCATAATGCATATTTCGGAATTTCACTTTGAATTGGAATGCTTATAGCCAGACGTTTATCCGAACGCTTTTTACGATGAGTAGTTGATAAGTAATCCTGTAAAGTTTTATTCAAATCTATCAGAAATAATTTATGCGTTTCGGCAAATTCTTGTGGTTATCTCACCTGAACATTTAAATCAATCTTAAGCGAAGGCGGCCTTCCTTTCGCTGGAGCTTTTGAGTGACTTGCATTATTAGTGTTGCTTTTTACTTTCGTTACTGGCAAATTTTCAAAAGAAGGATATGGATCTCCCCTAAAATTAGCACGAATTTCCTTGACACTTTTATCGCACTGAAGCAGTAAAGCTTGTACTTTTGTGCTGCTTTCACGCACAAGTGCCTATTGAGGTTATTCAATAGGATATATGATTGGTGACAAAACCATTAATTATTAAGAAATTTATTTTGAGTTAATTTAAAAATACGCGAAAATCCAAATACCTTATTTTCTAACTGTCTTGCCTCATAAAATTCTTCGCGCGTTTTAGTATACTCCTTTTCAATTTCTTCTTTCAAAACTGCCAACGGTTTACCATTGTACTTATTCATATTATTACGCGTGAATTGAATAAGTAATTTAACGTGCGAAAATTTGTTTTCTCAAATATATAACGGGTGTTCCAAAAGTCCCTATTTTTATAATGATCTCCATATAAAAGAGGATCTCTGGTGACATCTCTGATTGGTTGATGCAAATCAATTTTATTTATTTATGCAGTTTATTTATCGTGATTGGCCAATTGAACGTAACGTTTCACTAACGCTAACAAGACAAACTTTATTATTAGCTTTAGAAAAGTGTCAAATTTCACTGTGCAAAAGAATCTTCCCGAAAGCCCAAACTGACATATGCTATTTACTAGATCATGTATAACGACCAATTTTACCGACGGTCATGTAGAACATGTGTGATAATTAAATAGAAACAAATGTCAAAAAGATGAAAATCGGCGATAGAACATGTTATTCTCAAAGGCAAACTAATAATACTTAAACTTTGAACTAAGTTTTCTCAAAAACCACTTCAATGATTTCGATAAAAAATTTTTTGTCAAATTCTAAAGCTACGTAGAATTAAAATAAAAAGGTTTTAAGTAGAAAACTTTGCTTACAAGTGTTAGAAGTGAAAATTGTTTTTTTATATAAAAACATATACAGTACAAAACAAAAGTTTTTCCGCATCTATATCATCTCGCAGAGGTGTTACAGTCTTAGAACTTTTTAAAAAATTAATAAATAGATAATCTAGATTGTGTATTTTTTTGGCAATTTTTTAATTATTAGAAAAAATTTTAGATAAAAGTTAAAGTTTTGAATAAATTTTTGAATTAATATATACCTATAATAATATGGGGTCTTTCACATTAAAAGGGCCCATTTTGCAAATTTTTTGAAAAATGAGTTTTTATTAAATTCATGTAAATTTTAACATGACTGACATTTTTCAATTATAAATGAAAAGCGATTTGCATAATAAGAAATAGAGATA